TGTTCTTGATTCCCCTATTGTCTGGATGACAATGCAGTCCCCTTACATGGCTACATACCAGTGAGCGAGCGAGCAAGACCTGCAAACAAGAATATGGCTTTCTTTCCCCCTTGGCATAATGGGGTTATGCATTCAATAGGGTTTCTGAAGTAATAAGGACTGGGACGAAAGCACAAGCTTCTTTATGTTCAATTCATTTTCATCTCTACTCATTGTATCTTTGCAGGACAGGGTGCCCTGAAGATCCTTTTTACATTTCTCTCATGCTGACCTTCTGCAAACCGTTTGAGCTGTTCTGTAAGACGAATGGTATGATAACTTGAGAAAGGTGGCCTGAGGCTCTGCATGTACAATTTACTGCAGTGTGGAGCAGTCTGCCCTGCCAACATTTCTTGCATCTGGAAAGAGAAAGGTGCATCTCCTGAAGCTCATTTTTGTTCCCATTGCATGCAACATTGAGGTGTCAAAGCAAGGAATACAGGATGCTTGCAAATGTAGCTAGGACCCCTTGTTAACAGACCCTTGCCTTGACATACAGAATCATTGAAATCTCTCGTAATGGGCTGGAGGTGGGAGCTCTATTCAAAGGGATCCTTTATTTCAGTGGTTCTCAACCTTTTTAATGCCGCGACCCCCAACCGGTCAAAAGTCGAGGACTAAACCGGTTGTACATTGAGGACTAAACCAGTTGTAAGTCAAGGACTACCCAACTGGTTGTAAGTCGAGGACTTTCCCTGCCCGCCCCCTGCGCCGGCCGAGGCGTAGCTGGCAAGCGGCAGAGACGGAGCAGGCCGACCACCAGCTGGCTCAGCCCAAGGGAACTAAGGCACCCGCCGGAAAAAAGGAAAAAAAAATGGTGGACAGCCTTGCTTGGCGGCCCCCGTGAAATGGTCGATCGACCCCAAATGGGGTCGCGACCCATAGGTTGAGAACCGCTGCTTTATTTAAACCAAATCAAGATTAAACATAAAGCAACCTTTAAAAAAAGAGGGCAGGGGTCATAAAGATGTCCATCAGCTGTTATTGCCTAACAGGAATAATATATAGGTGCACAAGTCTTTACCAATATGTTTCTATCATTTCAGTCAAATCCTGCAAATATATAGCTCCTTTTTCTCAGTGTCTCTGAGTTGAATTTTGCCCTATCTGTTTAAATATCTCCGGATATGATGAAAGAGTTTAACTTTTGTAAACTTGTATCAGTTATATCCTCGTTTCTTGGTAATCCATTTTCTGTATTTTTATTATATTTTGCTTAATTTATTTATTAAATATATTAAATTTAATATATTTATTAAATTTATTAAAATATATTACAAAATATATTAAGCAATAAATATTAATATATTTATTGAAATATATTTAGCCAGGCATTTGACTTGCTAGTCTACCTGTAGATGCAATTTAAAATTGTTCTTTTTATTGTAATGAAAAAAAAACATTGGGATCCAACTAAAATTCCATGCATGACAAAGCATCTACTTTGCCATACACATAAGGCCAAGAAAAGATGATAATGCTCCTTGCTTCAACTTTTCTCAACTTGTCACTTTCCAGATATATTGGATTACAATATAACTTCCATGATACTATGCATATTGTACTAGAAACATATGTGCTATATGCACATAAACTTGATTCCTTTTGGACTTACCTTGTAGTTAACAGGTGCTCCTGCTTAGCTTTATAAACCTGTAAATGTTATATTTCTTAAGTAACATGTTTCTGTGAGTAATCATTCTTTGTATACTTCACTTTTATTGATATTTCACTTCAAAACATTGTGTGCTGGAAGGGAAAAAGCCCATACTGCAGTAAATCCTATGGCAAGGACTTGAGATACTTTTCTCAAGTTTTTTTTTAATAGCTAACTTAAGGCAACAACAGATTTGCTGATTATATATAGAATATATTTTGTCACAAAATTTCTTATTAGTTCTCCTGCAGTGATTATGAACTCGAATACTTAATCTCTCCTCCAGTGTTATCCATCAATGGGATTGCCTAGATGGCTGATTCCTCCATTACTAGTGGTTCTTCAGATGGATGTGTTGCATCTACTCCTTTATAATGAGGGAAGTTAGCCCAAAGAAGGAAATATTAAAAGGGCAGGAAAATATATTTTTCACCAAAAGGATTTTTAAAAGCATTTTTTGAAAAGCAGAAACCAAACCTGGCCCCAAATCTATTTCTCTGCCCCAAGCAAGAGCCAGCCCTATACAAATACAGATGTAAAACCATCAGGAAGGTTGGAGCCAGGAAACTCAAGAAGACAAAGAAACTCTTAAGAGTCATTAGCTCAGCCCCAGGGAAGCAGGAGATGACTTTTGGGACATAATAGGACTGAACCACAGATACTAAGGCCTAGAAAAGCACTCAGACTCAGTTCAAAGTTCATGCCACAGGAAGAGGAAACTATTCCAAACAAAAAGCTAGAGAGGGTATAAAAACCCTTGGCCCATGTGCTCAGCCCTTCTCTCTCCTCTGCTCTTTCCTGAAGAACCATCTTTCTGCTTCTTCAATAAACTGTAACCATCTTCCCAAAGCAGTCGCCATGTTGCTTATTTATTCCCGGCTTGGATGAACCAGAATGAAGACTTACTTCTGACAATAATAAAGAAAGGTGCATGTGACATCTTCCCATACCTTTCTGTTCTTGCACAACATCCTTGTTTCTACCATGACCATAAACAGACTACATTGCTTTTGTTCTTTAAGCTTCTCTAATCATTTTTTCCTTTTATGTTTATGTCCTATTATGCATGTACAGGTTCAGTCCCCGCATAACTTGAAGTAAACTCCATTGTACACAAAGATTTATATATGGGAAGTGTGCATATGGACATAGATAAAAACAAACAAAATGCTTCACAAAAAATACTGTAACTACATATTCAGTATTATTTAGTTGTGGAATCAGCATAGAAGCCATATAAAAATTCCTTGTATTATTTGGCTGCTTGAATTTGGATGTGCTGTCTAAACCTTCAGAATACCTATCAGTTAAAACAACAAACGAACAAACAAACAAAAAACCTCTGGTTGAAGCATGTTTGGATCCTCTTAGCCATGTCTTCTGAGCACAAGATAAAACAGAGACCAAGATTCTCTCCTTTGACAGTATCATGCCACAGGCAAAAAGACCTATATTGTTGTTATCCAGAGAAAGAGAGCAAGAGAGAGCTAAAGGCTATAGTAATCAGCTGGCATGCCTTATTGGATGTATGTTGGGGGTGGGGGGGGTGTGTGAGTTACTGTCACTTATCAGTGTGCCTCCCTAACACATGGATGCCTTTTGTCTTCATAAGATGAATCTGTTTGGTCTATGGTGGACTGCAGCATGGATAGGGGCATACAGGACTGAAAATGGAAAAGCATAGGGTTCTAACCGGAATGGCTGCAGGAGCCAAAAAGCAAATGGTAAAGGAAACCCAATAGCCTGAAAAGCACAATGATTTGTTCATAGAAGGGCAGGGAACTGAGATAAAAAAGCCTGCTAAGATCAGAAACTCTGGCGTGCACAGTGCCTCATTGTTCAGCTGTCACACTTCCCTTTACTTTATTGCTTTTGTCCAACACCCTATTGTTCAACTTCCTTTTGTCCCCCATTCAGTGTGCTGGCTTTTCATTACCCAGCCAGCCCTGTTGTTTTCATTTCTTTTGTCTGAAGTTCCTGAGAGGAAGGTTTTATTTTCAGCAGTTTGATTAATTCACAGCTTGAGACAGGCTTTGTTTGTTATGTAATTACTGCCCTGTGCTTTTCCAGAACTCCAAGTGGCAATGATGGTGGCACTTGGCCAGTTATGATGGCTGCTTTTGCCCCTAAACCTTTGTGCTTCTGGTATTTTGTCTTTCTAGAACTGGAAAATTATTGTGTGGCTGCACAATAGTGCTTTGCTTCTGAGGGGTACAGAGCAAGATTTTCTTCCCTTTGTGCAGGAAAAATATTGTATGTCTGTTGCTCAGCATAAAATATGTATGGGGTATTTAACTTTGCACCTGATTTAATAATTGACTCATCAAATTCTGACTTTGTTTTTGGTAAATCAGTCAATGTAATCTTCTAAGGCAGGATTCCCCAATATTTTTGTATTTAGAAAAAACATTTAGAAATTGTCATGAGCTCATCTTCCAAATGGCTATCATAAGAAGTTGGACTAGTCATAAGATGGCTGTTATGAAGATGTGGTTTTTCATAAAGCATAAGTCTTTCTCCAGAACAAAACAGAATCTGGTTGAAATATAAATGGGAAACCGCATATTTGAGGCTCTCTAAATGAACCCAAACGTTAAGTGTCTGGATAGTATCCTATATAACAGTGTTTCTCAACCTTGACAATTTTAAGGCATGTGGACTTCAACTCCCAGAATTCCACAGCCAGCAATGCTGGCTGTGGAATTCTGGGAGTTGAAGTCCACATGCCTTAAAATTGTCAAGGTTGAGAAACACTGCTATATAAGAACACAGGCTATTTGGTTACAAACTTCCCAATAATGAAAGGCTCTCTTATATTCTTTAAAATTATAATTATAATTTCAACATGTGTAGCAAGTATGGTGTAAGAGCTTGCATTGGGTATTGGTAAATACATTGGACTAGAACTGGGGAAACCCAGATTTAAATGCACCCTCAGCCATGAAAGCTCATTGGATGATCCTGGGCCAGTCCTTCTTTCTAATTCCAAATTACCAATTTCTTGTGCTTTGGAGATAAGTTAGAGGAATGATGGAGGTAAGACAGAAGATAGATTTAATTAGTAAGGAAATCTATAGGTTAGCATATTCATGCTCAGTGCAAACTGGGGTCCTGTTCTGAAGATAACGGCATGTGTCAATGGAAGTAATAGCCATCTGATTATTTCTGAGTTTGCCTGAAACCTTGTTATGCTTGGTTTCACATTTGGAACACTGGTCTTTCTCTAATGTGAGTGAAGTTCGTGGCCCTTCTTTTCCTGCTCATTTTCATAACCTTTTATATTTTGTTTTCCTTGTCATCCAGGATGTCCATGAGGAGCCTTGTCTCTCCTCAGCTGGAGCTTAATGGAGCTGGGAATATGGTGAACTGCACTGTTAAAACAGAAGAGAAGAACGAGAGCCACTACAAGTTGACCCAGGGCGAGGCTCCTTGCACAACACCTGGCTCCAACAGCCCCAGTAAATCACCCTTGCCCCTGGGTGACTTTGTTGATTCCCTAATTCTCCCACAGGTGGGCCACATTCTCTCAGGCATGTGTACATGAAGCATACCTTGCCACTCCCAAGGGACCCAGTCACTTTTAACTTGGGAAGTGAAACACTTTGGGGGAGAAAGGGTGAAGGGAGAGAGAAAGAGGGAAACCTCAGAGATTTCCTCATCTGTTAAATCAGCTCTCTAAATCACCAGTCAGGTCTGCAGCTCCTTTGCTACACTCCAGAGATTGTTTGGACAAACCCTGCTTGAAAGTAAGACTGTGAAGATAAGCATATCTGTTATCCTTCCCTTTTTAATTTCCTGCAGGGTGCTGGTGATTGACAGTGGCTCACTATCTTTCAGGAATCTGAACCTCCAGTGGACAAGGCATCAGATTCCAGGAACCCTGTGCTCGAGACTGCAGTTGGCAACCAGGAAAAATTGGATTTCAATAAAAATCTAAGAGAAGGTAGGAAGGACATTCTACAAACCTGATATTTCTCCCACACACATGCAGACCAAGATGCACACACATCCATTTACAGATGGCTTTCTTTTGGGCTTTTCTTCTTTTAGTTGCTGGGAAGAAGAGGCATAATTGTGTAGTAGAGTACTTGCTTTGAGATCATGGAACCCGTGATATTCAGGCTCTGGCAGTGTTGTGGAGCTGGGCTGGTGGGAGGGGTGAGAATGAAATGTCTTTTTTATTTATAAAGACAATGACATCATCTGGCAACAATCATGGGCTTCCCTAGTCCCTCTGAATTTTGCTGCAATCCTTATAATAAGAGGGGGAGCAGGGAGACATTCCCAAGAAGAATATATTGTTGTGAGCAATTCCTGTTATAATGCAAAGTATGTTGGGGGTGGCTGGATCTTGAATAGTCAATTAATTCCTACTGTGATTCAAAAGGTCTGCTCCTGGTGCTGAAGAAAACTATTAAAACTGGACACAGCTCATGTTCCACTTTCTCAAGCAGTCTTCTTTCCCCACTTCACCTCATCCCACCACTATATGTTTTGTGCGAATGATCTCAGGATGGGAATCCAAATTTCTTCAGCATTTCCTCACTGTCTTTTGCCAGCTCTTTCTTTATTCTGTCAGCTGTAAATTTAAAAGGAGTTTTTTGCTTTACCCTAATATAGACATATATACACTTTTGGGTCAGCACAGTTCTTTGCATTTTGGAGTTTTCTTTTGTAAGTGAGGCTATAAGGACTTCACCATGGGCAATGACATTTTAAAATTAACTATTGCAACACTGGCCCATGATATCACCAGTTAAAATCCTCCAGTTGCAAAATTAAGCAACATTGTATAAATAGGATGGATAGTGTTACATTTTAGGCAGACAATTAGCTTGCCATAGAGAAATGCAGCTCCTTTATAATTTTTCCTTCTTGGAGTGGATTCTTGGTTGCTGTTTATGAAAATAGCTACATTGAAAAATTAAATAACATTAGATTTACAAGAGTCAGGGGAATGAATGTTCCATCTTAGTTTTTGCATTCAGATGCTTAATTAAGTTAATCAGATGCTTAATTAAAGTCACCAATTTCTTTGATTATCTTGGTCTGTCCTTGTAATATTATCTACCACCAGCCAACCTAGTCTTCATTTCTATTATTATGCATTATGATACTCAATAAACAGTTATATTTCTCAATTGCAAACCTGTCGTATTTTCTTGCAACAGTGATGCCGACCATTGAGAAGTTACTGTCCAGTGAATGGAAAGAGAGACTTCTGGGGAAAAGTCCTATGGAATCCAAAGAGGTAAAAGGTGAGCAAGGGGTTTAGCTGAATTGTATTAATGCCCAGAACAGACAAAACTAGCCCAATTAGAATTGAAAGCCCCTCTATTCTACTTCATTTAAGCTAAATTCAAAGCCAATACATTTTTAAATTTATACCATCAGAATTCACAGTATTTTGCCTTATTTTAAAGGTTAAAAAATAATTCAATAAAAAAGTGGTTTTCCACTATGAGACAATACAGCCTTTCCCAACTTTCCAGGCATATCCCCACATTCTGATCCATCATGCTAGTTAGAATGTAGGAGTTGTACTCCAATGTATCTGCCAGGCACCATGATGAGAAAGGCTGAACTACTGATATAACCACATTGGTCCCAATCATGTGAGAAATTATTTTTTTAACAAATTCATGTACAATTCTGTGAATCTTTGAGTACAATTATCTGTCAATAAAAACTAAAAAATAAACTGCTTTGGATACTGTAGAACTGCACCATCTTATATCTACAGAAGCACCTCTTTCTTTATGCTCGCCAGGATCTGGATTTCCAAATGTAAAGTGCATGTTGCATGATTTTTTTATGTCACACCTATAGCTTGCGAAATAGGTCTCCCCTGTTTTCCTTTGTTCTACCAAGGAAATTCCCTAGATTTTTTTGATACTTGCAGGATACCCTCTAAGAGGACAACCTTAATGTTTCAGAATGAAATTTCACTATTTCCCTCCTTCTTGTTAATCTCTTCTCTACTTCTTTTGCTTGCTCCAGGAACCCAAGAAAGCTTGGCAGAGAAAGAATTACAACTGCTGGTCATGATTAACCAGCTGTCCATCCTGAGGGACCAGCTGCTGACAGCCCATTCAGAGCAAAAGAACATGGCGGCTATGCTGTTTGAGAAGCAGCAGCAACAGATGGAGCTGGCCAGGCAACAGCAAGAACAGGTAGGTAGTGAAGCACTACTTTGTAGCTATATTTATCCTTCTTAGCCTTTGAGATTTTTGTCTTTAGAAGGTTTCCTGATTGGCACTTGAACTTCAAATGATATAGGATTTATAGAGCTGAATGAGTTAATAGGTCTTTATCTAACTCAAATCAGCCTGAAAAGGCAAACAGTTTAGAAAGAGAACAAATATTTATTTCAGGGATGGTTAGTCCGTGGCCATTTCTGTGGACCTTAGAATCTTCTCAGATAATATTGTTCATTTTAGTAGCAAATCATAATTTTATGGTATGATTTTTTCCACAATATAAAACAGGAATCTTTTCTAATTTAATATTCCCGCTTTACTCAATTTCCCACCCCACAACTCCAAAAAATCAAGGGCTGAAAGCTAATGTCCCACCTTCTCTGCAGCTCTTGAAGGCTACTTTCCCTCCCATTAAATAAAGCATAGCCTCTGGCTGCAAAAGATAAAAGACATAAAAATTACCAACTAGGTGTATTGTAGTATGATAATAAGCAACCGGCTGTAGAGTCTACATAAATAGGATATTATAAAATTCCAAATACACATATTCAGAGTGAAAACTGCAGGGATATATAGTAAATTAAACTGTCTTATTGTGAAGAAATGATGGTGATGTGAATGGATAGGGCTGTTGCTCCAGTTACAACTTCTCTTAACAGATGAAAGCAAGGCATAATTTTAAATAAATCCACAAAGCCTAAGCTTTAGGAGGAGGTTAATATGCTGCCTGAGACATCAAACTTCCTTTAAAGTTATTTACTGCTGGTATGTTCAAGCTCAACTGTGATGTAATTATAATCTTCACATGTTTTACTTCACCTCACTCCAATAACTTGTATGCTGTGTGCTAATAAGTCAAATATGTGCTTATTCATCTTCTTAAAGCTATTCAGTAAGGTAATTTCATCACTGGAATTCTGTGTAATAATGATGGAGAAAGAGATGAGAAATCTGAATGGGAAACTTCACCTGAAGTTTTTAGTACCTGGTGTCTTGCTTTTCTAAACAATACTTGTTACCACTTGCATCCGTGCAATCAAGTTCTGCTTACATGAGCTGTTCTTGTTTTGCCACATAAATTGTGGCCTTCCCTTTATTTTGTAGAAATGAGCATTGTGCCCAAGTGGCCCTAAGGTTTGTAGTTCAGTTAGCATGGGTCTTGGTTCCACCTCATCTTTCCTACTTGTAGATTGCCAAGCAACAACAACAACTTATCCAGCAACAACACAAGATCAACTTGCTGCAGCAGCAGATCCAGGTACAATGTTATATATTTTCTTTGGGAAATGGGACTTAAGTGTGGCTTAATTGAAGGCATTCACTTAAAAATTGGAAGTGCCAAGACAAGGGTAATAGTGCTACATGTAGATTATTTATCCTTAGATGTACAGAAATTAACATAGAAGCAATTGTTATCTTGATAATGATGCATTAATGCAGCTTTTCAAAATGTAAGAGGTTGAGATCCACAGTGCCTTACTGTGAAGCAGGTGCCAGTGAAATCATTAGGATTTGATTCAGACTAAATGTGATTGGACTTGAGGCCTTGGTATGGGAGTAAAGGGCCAATCCTGTCCTCCTTCAATTTATATTCCCACCCATCCTTTCTGGCTAGTTGCCACTTTTAGCAAAGAAATACATACTGAAAATGTTTTTCAAGTTGATAAGAAACTTCAGTATTTCTTCCACTGTGATATGAATAATAAAAGCTTTGCACTTCCTTGTCTGGATATTTGCATTAAGTACCTAATATTTGATACTGCGATATGGATATGAAGTAAGAAAGTGATATACATCTCTCTGTTACTGCCTCTAGTCTAGTGGATATGAAAAATGGCTGTTTGGACAAATAGCATTGTTACAGTTTCATATGTCCTATATCTATTTCTGTGTCCACCACTTCCCTTACTCTTTTCAGCAGGTCAACATGCCCTATGTCATGATTCCAGCCTTTCCTCCCAACCACCACCCTCTTCCTGTCACTCCAGAGTCTCAGATGGCACTTCCTATCCAGCCAATTCCATGTAAGCCAGGTATGAAAAGCCAAGAAAAGTGGAATTCTGATTAATGTGATACGGATTTCCCAAGGCTTTTATACAGTGGACCTGGAATGGGAAGAGGGCATCCTCTATTAATTGTAGCCATTGAAAACCATCAGACACATGAACTATGTTGAATCAATTCCTTAATGTTTCTGTTAGTAAAAATGGAGTCAGAATGCTGTTTTTAATGGTTAAAACTGTTTTTTCCCCTACACAAACCTTACTCTTTAACATTGATAGGCCCCTTTCATGTGTCTTGGAAATAAAAGATAGAAAAATACTGCAAAATGGGCTTTTCTTCTAAAAGGTTTATTAACATGGATTTGTAGGAAAATCAAGGTAGTCAGTCTGCAAATGTAATAGCTGGAGTTTGGTTACATAATACAGAACCAGCATGATTGTTTCAAACAGCTTCCTTTCCTAAAGTATTGCCAAATGTTCAACCATGCAGGTTTAACATCCTCATTTCAGCAGTTCTCAAGGGTAAATTGAAGAATACACTGTTCAGTGAAATACTCTGCCACCGTGTAGCAGGCATAAAAGAAACATTGTCCTGTACTTTTCTCTACTACTCCTTCTATAGGGGCATCCATAACACTATGGTAGCCCGTTAACACAAATGTTTCCAAGTGCTTTGTATTCCTTTTATATAAGCTCTTTGTGGGAATAGCACAATTCTCACTGACAGAATAGAAAGCATAGAGTAATAAGGAGATAATGTTGAAGAAGAAATGCAAAGACCATTAAGTATGTAGCAACTTTATACTGAGAGGAAACATGTCATGAAAAAGAAACTCAAGATAATCCTGCCTTGGTTCAATTGGGTATAAGAATCTGTTGCAGGCTTTGTTGTATGTTATTACACCATACAACAATAGAGTTCCACCTAGATTGAAGAAATCAGCAGGTCTTCCCTTTCATTAGTGTGTGTTATTTTATGTAGAATTACATAAAATCAGTATAAAATAAGACTTCCTATTTTGTTGTTATAACTTGAAATAGTGTACAATAATGAATTTTGATACTGTCCTGTTGTTTTTCCTTTTTGCCCATTGTTCAGTTGTGTCCAGTTCTCACAAAACTGCCTGGACAAGGTTTCTTGGCAAGGTTTTTCAGAAATGGTTTATCATTACTTTCTTCCTAGGGTTGAGAGAAAGTGACTAGCCCAAGGTCAACCTTGGGCCTTATGCCTAAGGCAGACTAGAACTCACAACTTCCCAGTTTCTAGCCTGATACCTTAAACCACTACACCAAACTAGCTCTCACCATATGAGATATAATATTATTGTATTGTTTTTATTGTATTTCACCATAACATACAATATATCTATAATAAAGCTGAGTTATATTTGGTTATACCTGGTCTTGGTAGTTGCATTTGGATCCTTTTTAATCTAGTATTAAAAGTTAGCTATCGCTACATTAAATCCCTCTCATTCTAATAGTCTGGGCCCATAGAACTAAGAACAGTTCACTACTTTAATACATTGATGACAGTTGTCCCCAAACCCATTGCTGTAATGTACAAAGGGGACATGGTTTTACATATTTGGGGACAGATGCAGAAATTTCGCCCCTTTACTTAATTCCAGGTTGAGTTTCACTGAACTTACAGTAGATTCCCTCTTGATTCAATGGTGACATAAGAAGGATCTCAGTTTAAGTTTAACATTGTACACAATCTCCACCTCTTCTCTTTCTTTACAATCTACAGTGGAATATCCTATGCAGCTGATTCATAGTCCACCTCCTTCAGCACTGAAGAGACCTGCAAGCTCAGGCCACCTACAAATCCAGGTAAAACCTCTTAATTGCCTTTTTCCTTAGATCTCCAAATCTTGTAGAAAATGTTTCTATCCTCCTTCTCTATTTTGTTTTCAGGAATCTTCACAGCCACTGAACTTAACAGCAAAGTCTAAAGGCTCTGAACCCCACAATGCCTCCAGCACACCTAGTTTAAAGATTAGTAGCAGTCAGTCCCTCAGTGGTGTTTCTCGGGAGTTGCAGACCAGCCCTCCCAGCCTCCCTTTGGGTAGGTCTGTTCCTCTGATTCAGAGCTGATAGGGAAATGCTTCTTTGAATGACTTGTAATTGCAAACTTGTTACAAAATACCTTTGCTTTTTTATTAGCTTACGCTCTTGATTTTTCTTTGGGGAAGAATTCTTGACATCCCTAGATTCATGAAGGGATGAATACGGCTTTCCTCAAGAATCCTTTGGGGATTTTATCATGTGGATTTACCAGTACTGAAGGGGGAAGAGAAACTGCAATTCAGAGGAAAATGCATGCATTGCCCATGCAAAATATTCAGTCCTCAACATCTCCAAATATGTCTGTGAAAACTTGGAGAATTTCTACCAATCAGGAGAGACAGATTTGATGTAGATGAACCAAGGATCTTTCATGTTGCAGGACTCCTCATATATCCAAATCAATATATCCAATGTGTTATCCATGATTTTGAAACATATGCAAATTATAAAGTTCAAGGCTCCAAGAGTTAATATGAAGTTAACAGATACATAGAATACTCTAATCACTCCAAATGAGAACCTAAGTTTATTGCAGTCTTGAAGAGAAGCATAAATCCAGTCTGAAGTTTAATGTGCAGAAATTGTAGAGACATTGTAGTATATTTGTTGTTGTTGTTGGAGATGCCTATTCTGCTGTTTCATGATTGCTGAAGGCATAAGATAACAAGCACAGCAATTTTGGGCATGTGGAAGAAAGAAAGTCATAATTCTTGAGCCTTCCAGGCTTTTGTTAATTAGAATTGAAATCTTTTTTGTGTTGACAATCTCATGTCATCTCCAGAAGGAATACAGTCAGTTACAAAAGTTTCAGGGCTGGAATTCTGTGTCCTTCTATTTTCTAACAATGGACCACTGCCAGTAGCCACAGTAGTCTACATCACCTCTGACATTCAGGAAAAACCTCCTTGCAGATGTTACATGCCAGTAATGTAAGTGGAAGTTCACATAAGACCCCGTGTATCATCTTCCTCGGAATCACAGGATTGCACCATAAATGTTTCTTTTTCTGATAAGGAAAAAAAAGTAATCATCACTGATTCTAAAAGAAAACTAACCTGAAGCTATATAAAGGGAAAAAAATTGCTGTAGTTAAGGCATGCTTGTGGAAAATGCAGGATAGAGCTATTGTATCCAGGCTATAAAATTCTGGGTGATGTCAGCAAATGGTGGCAAACTCAGGGATTTCCTGTAGCCTTTTAATGCTATCTAGTGGTTGTCTGGATTTTTTCAGCCTAGATGTGGTAGCCCCAGTGTTATTTCCTTGTGTTAGTAGTTTGCACTGGTGATAGTCATGAAGATATCAGTTGATCACCAGTTGTTGTTTTTTTAAATATCAGGATTCCTTGGAGAGGGAGATGCTATAACTAAAGCAATACAAGATGCTCAGCAACTTCTGCACAACCAAAGCAGAGCTCTAGATGGTTCTCCAAATCATCCATACATTAAGGTAAGTGATATTGATTTTGGTCTTAAAAGGAAAGAATACCCTCTTTGACACAAAGCCTTGAATAAAGATTAGAATTTTGAAGAACGAAAGATATCAGAGTCTAATGAAAGCAGTCCATCAATTTAAAAACAAACAAACTGGTATTTGGGTTTTTGAGAGCCATTGTCTGTGATGTGAATAGTAATGAATGAACCTTCAAAAGATTCAGTTCAGAATGTTCTAAAAAATGAGCTAATTGGACATAGTTTATATTAGGGTAGCATTTCAGACAATTTAATAATTGGATAAAATTTATAAGCTTTCCAATTCTGATTCACCACATCCCTGATCCATTGTAGAATATAACCAACCCTGGAAGTTATTTGGTGAACTGGCAAGACTATATTCTGTTTGTTTGTTTTAATTCCTCAAACATTTCTGATAGAAACAACAGTATCGTGGGCTGAAGTGTCTTTTGAAATTGTTAACTTTATTTTCCAGAGGTCTGTGTTCCTCATGTAAGGCCCACTGAAAGTTGTAGGAGAAGCTTTTTCCTTTGCTATTACCACTACCTGATAAATTGAATGACTAAGGGAAGAGCTTTCAGTGATAGTACAATAATTATATACTGAGAGTGAAAATAGGAGAGGTTTAAGATTAGCACATAATAAAATAGAAACTAATACATGAGAACTCCATATTCCAACATTTTAAGTCTAAACTTAAAGTACATAAAATACTTGTTCTATTACAATAGTCCATAAAGCTATTCAAAAGTCATTTTATTCCTTCGACTCATGTCTTTAAAGTATTATTTACAAAAGCTGTTCAGCATGTTAGCTGAATTGTTCCTTTTTCTTGCTGAAACTATTTGTTCTATAAACAGAAAAAAATATAAAATACTTTGTTTCCAAGATTCTTTTGTTCAGATAATGTTACCTGTAGTCTTTCTTTTATAGTTTCCTGTTCAGCAGATTTGGACTATACAGGTCCTATTTTAGGAGATTATATAAGGCCATTCTCCTTTGATAATTTAACATATGGCAAAATAATTTATTTTAAAAATCTAGGTTTAAGGCAGGTTAATTGCTTCTGGAAATATGCCATAGGTACAAGCAGTCCTCAACTTACAACAGTTTAGCCCAATATTTCTGTTGCTAAGTGAGACAAGTGAGTTTTGCCCCATTTTACGACTTTTCTTGTCACATTTGTTAAGTGAATCACTGCAGTTGTTAAATTAGTAACTTGGTTGTTAAGTGAATCTGGTTTCCCCATTGACTTTGCTTGTCAGACGGTTGTAAAAAGTGTTCACATGATCCCGGGACACAGCAACTGTCATAAATATGAGCCAGTTGCCAAGTATCTGAATTTTGATCACACAACCATGGAGATGCTGCTGTGGTTGTTAAGTATGAAAAACAGTCATAAGTCACTTTTTTCTGTGCCATTGTAACTTTGAACAGTCATTAATGAATGATTATAAGTCAAGGACTACCTGTAGTAACTTTTAATGTTGCTTACCTTGGTAAGATGCAGAAAACCCTGTATTTTCAGGATCATACCAATTTGGATTCTTCACCTGGAAAAGAACAGATGGATGAGTCATCTCTTCAGAGACTGGATGAGTCTCTACTAACATGTGAAGGCGATGGTAATGACATTTCTTCTTTTTTTCCACAAATTTCACCAATGTTGAATTTTGAAGAGAAAATCTAACCAAGCTTCCTTTAATAAATGAAAACTTTAGTTGAATAGCTGAATTAGGGTTTTTTTAATGGTGCCAAAACCTCATGACTTCTCTAAATTTTTGTATACAGCTTTTGTATACAGCAGATGTGACAAATCTACCATGTATGACCCCCCCATTTGCAATTTCCAGAATTCACAAACTTCCACAGTCTGGTCAGTTTAATGAATTGTTCTTTGGTCCTTTCTTGGCAGGCTCACGGCATTTTCCTGAGTCCAGGAACAACAACCACATAAAGCGCCCCATGAATGCTTTTATGGTGTGGGCCAAGGATGAAAGACGTAAAATTTTGCAAGCTTTCCCAGACATGCACAATTCAAGCATCAGTAAGATTCTAGGTAAAGAAAGATGTGTAAATTGGTATCTATCGGTTCTTTTTTCTAATTCTTTTGATATTTCTGTGAAACATATTGCCCCTTGGGTAAGTAATTATTGGTAATTTCTAACAGTTTAATAGTGGGTTTAGTAGAAGGAACAAGCACAGTTCTCTTTCTTGGTCTATCATGATTGCCTTATTCTTCAGATTTTACACCTGCACGTGTTGAATGCAGGTTTTAAAAAAATTAAGCTCACATCAAAGAGGAAGCCAAGACTAACCTTTTCTCAGGGTGCTATTTATACAATTGTGGTTGTGGACCTTTTCTAATGATATGAATCTCAGACTACAGAGCAAGCTAGACAAGGTCGTAGTCACAAAGGTAAATTCATTGCTTGCCCCAGAATTCAAATAGCAGCTTAAACAGAACCTCTTTGCTCAGTAAGGAGGCCTTTTCCCCCCTACCAGAATGGTTGTAAGTGGTGCTAGTTGTTAAGCAGGTCATCCTGTCGTGTAGTGATCATTTAGCAAATGCCACAGTCATTAAGTAAAGCTGTTATTAGAAGAGACATTTTTTTTGCCAGAAACTGGAAGTAAATACCAGTTTCTGGCAAAAAAAAACATAAAATGAGGTCATGTGACCACAGGATACTGCAAACAGCTGTAAATGAGTTGCTGAGTGCGCCCCCCAAATACAATCACATGTCCATGGGGGGCAGGTATTGAGAACCTCATATCCAGGTAAGTACCTTTTTTTGTTCATTGTAACTTCAAACAGTCCCTAAGCAATGACTACCTATATGTAGTGCTTTTCTTTTTCTTCTCCTTCCTGTCCCTTTATCTCTCTCTGTCTCTTCTCATAAAAGGTCTATTTCCATCTATGCTCATTACAGTTAGCAAGGCAAATTTTGTTTTTTTAAGAGGAACATTCAGAAATTCTGCCTTCCTCTGATAGAGAACAATATGATCCATTCTGTCTTTTCGACCCCTGCAGTTCTAGATGTGATGTCTAAAAGTGGGGGAAAAAATGGAACTTGCTTTGCTTCTGAGTTTATTGTTTTGTTTTGTTCTTTAGCAAACCAAACCAAACTGGATGTATGTAAATGCGTATAATTAGAAAGTACAAAGGGAAAACAATCATAATGACAACATTAAGAAAAATACATATGACTGAATCCTGTCTTGATTTTTTTCATTTTAGAAGGTTGTTTAAATTATGACTATTTTGTGTAAGCTCAATATTATTTGAATTATGTTGACTCTGAAATATAAGGTAATTTTACCTGTAATGCTAATGCCTGCCTTTTCCTATCCAAACTCCTAGGATTTCCTTTGATCCAGAAAGTTTGTCTAAGATTAACTTTTTCTCAAGTTCCATCAACTATATAGACATCTTAGACTTTGTTCCCTCCATTAACTGCTTGGGTGAAACCTTCCTCATCTCTCCAGCCTCAATTCTTCACAAACTCTCTGTTGGGCATGACAATAAAGGTCACACAACCCAGAGAATTCCAGCCACCCAGAAGGCCAGCCTATTTTAGCTGTTCCACCTGCTCCCCATACCTTGGGCTTAAAAGAATTCAAAGAGCCCTCTAGGAAGGTGACAGGAAAGGTCAGCAGGAGGGAAGGGTTCTGGTCAGCCATAGGTGGTGGCCATGGCTTTGGAGCTGCCCATTTATAAGAGAGAAAGACTAAGGAAAAGAGCTGTACTTCCCTGCCTTTCCCTTACTTTCCCATTTACCTGCCGTCATATAACTCGGCACAAGTCAGTCAATATAATATTTGAGAAAAGTGAAAGGTCTCATTAAATAAATGGATTCTCTTGCCGTTTGACAATAGTGCATCTTCACACGTGACACTTTTTCCACATGATGTAGTAATAGCATGCCTTCATGTTGATGTACAATTAAATGCTGAGTAAATATATACACAGGTTAACACTGTATACTTGTGCTTCAGGGGCTAAGCAAGAGTCATTCCCCCCCCCCCCC